AAAAAAAAAAAACGAAAACCGAATAAAAGCATCAAAGAAAAATTAAACGTTAAGCAATCTCATACCCTGAGTAACTCGGATTCATACGTATCACAGCCCCACGTTGAATTTTATTTTACGTTGAATGGGTGCAAGTGCAACCTGCATTTTTGGCACGCACAGCATAAATGTCCTTTTGTTTGCATATCTGTATAGACAGACAGAGTTAGAACGTCCAAGAGTTCTTAGAAAAACTAACTTCCTTGTTCTCATTCAAGCCTGCACATCATTTGTTGTTAACGAAAACCTGAACATATTTTAACACCTGTCAGTAATCCTGGATTTACTGTAGCTAAACCAGTAGATGATAAATGGTATCCTCTCTTACATAAACTTGACCCAGTGTAGTAAAGCCTGATGGAGGCAATCAGGTTGCGTAAAACGACCAGTGAAGCGCTTTTCTTTTGTCCTCTTTTTTGACCACTGCAAAACAGTCATAAAAGCGGATCAAAAGTCGTCCTTTTATCCCTCTATCAATGATATACTGCACCAAAAATATCTAAAGAAGAGACAATACCATTGCGACAATGTCGCTTTATCTGAAGCTACAAAAACAAACAAACAAAAAACACGTCTATCGTATTTTAAAAGTACATCCGGTCAGCAGTTGTGCTCTGCGCGTTTCCGGTCTACATACGATTTGGTCGTAAACAACGATTTCTTCGCTTCCCAACCATGCACCACGAATGTAGGGTTCGATTTAGCCAAAGACGTAATTCAGAATCGTCGTCAGACATGCATTTGCTTAGCTGTGATCTTGATGCATCTATTTAACTTCCTGGAGGATTTCAGATGAATTATATTGATAAATTATTTCGATACTCGACACACGACTGTGTTTGACCTGTTCGACTGTTCTTTATTCGGGTTAATGCATCATCATCTGCGGTCTAAAAGGAGATGTTCGGTGAGGCTAGCCAGTTAGATGNCAATGGAGGCAATCAGGTTGCGTAAAACGATCAGTGAAGCGCTTTTCTTTTGTCCTCTTTATTCACCACTCTATTAAAACAGTCATAAAAGCGGATCAAAAGTCGTCCTTTTATCCCTCTATCAATGATATATTTACCAAAAATATCGAAGAAGAGACAATGCCATTGCGATAATGTCGCTTTATCTGAAACTACAAAAACAAACAAACAAAAAGCGCGTATATCGCATTTTAAAAGTACATCCGGTCACCAGTTTTGATCCTCGCTTTTCCGGTCTACATACGTTGGGTCGTAAACAACGATTTCTTCGCATCTCAACCATGCACCACGGAATGTACGGCTCAATTTAGCCTTAATTTAGACTTAATTTAGAATCGTCGCAGACATGCATTTGCTTAGCTGTGATCTTGATGCATCTATTTAACTTCCTGGATGGATTGTATTGATGAATTATTTCGATACTCGACACACGACTGTGTTTGACCTGTTCGACTGTTCTTTATTCGGGTTAATGCATCATCATCTGTGGTCTAAAAGTACATGTTAGATTTGACCTTTCCGCTAGAGTCTGTGCAAGATTCGGTCAAGAAAATGGAGGGAGCGAACTGAGAAGAGACTCACACTATACGACAAAAGCATCCTGAAGAAATTCCCAAGAGTTGCAAGGTAGGCTTTGTTTCAATTTATATTTCATCAAATTCGTTGGCCAAGACCTAATCAATCAAATGTAGATAACAGATAAGATGATAGAAAATACATCTGAAGCTGCTATTCTCTATCTAAAGCCTGATTGAGCCAAATACTGGAGCCCTCAAAATTGCCAATTTTGCAGTTTTTTGCAACTTGCCTCGGGTGTCTTAAACACCCATGGCCAGAATTTAGTTTTCCCCAAATAGATTTTGTGATATTTAGAAACTTCAATATCTATGAAAGCTCTGCTGCTAATTTGGTTTTTTGGGAAAGAGTACTTTCGGAGAAATTACGAATATGGTTGTGCTTGTTTTTCCTGCTTGTCAAAATGACTGACAGGCAACATAGTAGGACGAGCATTGTCTTCTTGATTATAAAACCCAAAATACTTTAACGGCACATTTTATAAACTGGGAGAGTGGTTCTACCATCTGTATGAATTTCATTTGAATTGGTTTACATGCACCCGAGAAACAGACTCCTTTACTTTTACTTCTTGAGAGTGAATTTTTTGGTCAAAACATAGTCCTCAGGCCGACGTGATCAAGTGCGGTTACCATGGCAACAACACACCTGCCGATCCAAATATGGCTGTTTTTGTTCATCTCCCCAGGTAACCTACCTCCACACAAAAAATGAAGGGGGGTTAAAAATTTTCATTTCCAACTTTGCTTCACTTTCTCGGAGAATTGCTCTTAATAAGTGATCTGTCTGATTTCTTGATTCGCTGAGGATCTTTCTTTTGTGGATTCAAATGCCTGATATGACCTGATATGACACCATCTGAAGCATTCATTGTCCTTATTTTTCATATTGATCAAACCTTTTAGTGAGTTTCCCAACCCATTTGGAAGTTGAATATATACCTTTGCCGACAGTGGAACATATTTGACAATGTTCAGATAATGGTTATCAACTGATTCTATGATCCAACCACTTCCCTCTGATAGCCATTGCGCGATCTTTTCCAAAATCTCTTCCTGAGAAATTTTCAGTTGTTGATTTAAATCAATGATATTTGTGACAGTCTTAGCCTTACTATTAAAATAAGCTGTTTTACGTTTTATATGATGCTTTCCACTAGTACTATCAATTCCAACTTCAATATCATCATCATTTTGTTTATTATCAGGTACTTTTTTGGCAAAAGTTACTTTCAGAGTTTCATAAAATTTGAAATTCTAACTTGTTGCTGATTGAGATTTATTAAAATGATGTTCAATTGCTTGCCTGGTTGTTTGTAATTGAATCAGCGGATCACTTTTATTTTTCAAATCAACCTCACAAGTTTTAATAGGGTCTTTTAAAGCTAGTTTAACAGGCGTTTTTTTAGTTCTTGGAGCTGGTATTGGTTTTTTAGATTTAACACGAGGTTTTGGAACTGGTTTTTCTGTCTTAAACATAGCACCAATAGGTAATTCCACCGCTTTAGTTCTCAAAGCTGGAACTGGTTTAATAGTTCTAGGTTTTGGAACTGGTTTATCTCTAAATTCAAGAGGTGGTGCAATTATATTTTCCTCATAATCATGTATCATTTGTTTAACATTTTTGCGGGGCGCTGGAATAGATTTTTTTAATTTTTGTTGATCTTTTAACAATAGATCAAGTAATTGTTTTTTTTGTCAATTTATTCAATTTTGATTTATTCATCATTACTATATTATAGCTAGATAATTTTTTATTCTCACAATTTCTATTTTTTATACTCATTACTACAATGTCTAAGGGCGTTTTCCTTTTATATGTTTTTCATTTTTCGAATTTCGGCTCTCCTGAGCCCATTTTGTGCTTTCCAGAGGCCCCGAGCAGCCCATTTTTATGCTGTTTCAGGCAGAAGCATTTTTTGTTTACCAGAGGCTGTTGGAGAGTGTTTTTTAGCCACGAAACAGCTCTGCTAAGTGTTTTCCAGCAGAAGGATTTTGACGATTTGCCGGGGGCTGGGAAACATAAAATGGATTCAGGAGAGGGCTTTCCATGAAGTTGCTCTGAGAAGCCTGAAAATGCGGTTTTCGAGGATAGTCTGTTGGAGGGCGTTTTTGCTTCGTTGAGGGGCCGTTGGAAGGCGTTTTTTTGTAAAGTGAGCTTGCACCGCTGTTTTTCATACTACTATGGCTAAAGCGATTGCCTTCCCATTTTAATATCAATACTTATAATATATAGATGTGGCCCAACGTTAAATCGGAAATCCTTATTTTACTTGAAAAGTGACAAATTTACTTCCTATCGTCGATTAATAATTCCTTTTGACATTAACTACGTTAAGACTTCTAACGGGCAAAGGGACATTTGCACGATGACCTCAATTATATAAAAGGAATATGAGAATTTGCAACGCAGAGCAACGCAAGTAAGCAAAGCGCCCCAAGTAGGCAAAGCACCTCAAGTACCATTCGATTCAACTGGCTAGCTGAGAGTAATTTCTGCCTGACGGATCAATAGCCTCAGGAAAAGAACAAACAAACAAAGCTAGCTAGCTACCAGATGCCACCTAAAGGCTGACGGAACCTGACTTGACCTGTCAACTCGGTGATAAAATGGTTCACATTGTTGGTTTTTCAGGTTTGCCTTGGTCATTTTGGTCCAGACAGAATTTAGCCCTATTTTACCTAGCCAAATTCTCAGCAGACCATTCGATTCAACTAGAGGTGCTTCACCTCAAGGAAGCAAAGCACCCCAGGTAAGAAAAGCATCCCAAGGAGGCAAAGAACCTCAAGTAGGAATGGTAACCAAATTCCTAGCAGACCATTCGACTCAACAAGAGGCTCTTCACCTCAAGTAAGCAAAGCACCCCAAGTAAGCAAAGCACCTCAAGATGGCAAAGAACCTCAAGTAAGCAAAGCACCTCAAGTAGGAAAGCACCCCCAGTAAGCAAAGCACCCCAAGTAAACAAAGCACCTCAAGTATGGAAAGCACCTCAAGTAAGCAAAGCACCCTAAGTAAACAAAGCACCTCAAGTAGAGAAAGCACCTCAAGTAGGCAAAGCATCCCAAGAAAGCAAAGCACCTCAAGGAGGCAAAGCACCTGAAGTGAGCAAAGCACCTCAAGTAAGCAAAGCAAAGCACCCAAAGTGAGTCGATGATGTTTTAAGTCTGGTCCGTTGAAAATGATTGGTTAATTTAGCCATGATGGTATAGGCTGAAAGAATCAAGTAAGCAAAGCACCTCAGCAAGTATGGTCTATCTCGTCAACGAGACTTATCAGAATCTGCCAAGGATAACATCAGAAGCAGAATTGCTTCCACGGTACAATCAGCCTCTATACCTGACAATAACTTGGCAAAAGACGAATAACAATCACTGAAATGACTGAAAAACGACAAAAAAACACAGTTATACTACCAGCCCACAAAGGACGTGTCACTGTTGTTATGGACAAGACTGACTACTTTGAGAAAATGGACGCACTTGTTAACGACAAACAAACTTACGAAGAACTTAAACGCGACCCGACGCCAGCACTTCAACGTAAACTTAACAGCAAAATATTTACGCTTAAAAAGACTGACGCTATTGACACTCAACGCTACTACCGACTGAGGTGCTCAGTACCACAACCAGCGAAACTTTAAGGACTATCGAAACTGCACAAACCTGGTATACCGATGGGACGTATAGTCTCATTCTGTGGGTTCCATACGTATCAACTGTCAAAGTACTTGACGACCACACTGCAA